ACACACACACACACACACACACACACACACACACACACACACACACACACAATGCATGGAGGAAGGGCAGAGAGAGGGAGACACAGAATCCAAAGCAGGTTCCAGGCTCTGAGCCACCAGTACAGAGCACCATGCAGGGCTTGAACTCACAAGCTGCAAGATCATGACCTAAGCCAAAGTCGGACACTTAACCGACTGAGCCACCCAAGCGCCCCTGGGTTATCTATCTTAAAAGTTGACTCTGGATAGTAAGGAATTACTATGATTTATCTTTAGTGTGATGAGGGTGTTACAGTTACATTTTAAATGTTTTTTAACTTTTTTTATTTTAGAGAGAGAGCCAGAGGACTCGAGCAGGGGAGAGGGGCTGAGGGGGAAGAGAGGGAAGGAGAGAGAGGGAGAGAGAGAGAGAGGGAGAAAGAGGGAGACAGAGAAAGGGAGACAGAGGGGGGGGGGCTGAAATCAAGTCACAGCCAAATCGAGTCCCAATACCTAACCGACTGAGCCATCCAGGCGCCCCCCCCCATTGCTGATATTCTTAATCAGGATGCGAAGAATTATACCTGGCAACATCAACAATGGGTTATTCAGGAATTTAAACTTTGGGAAAATAAGCTGCAACATGCAGACCAACTTTTTTTTTTTTTTTTAAAGTAGGCTCCACACCCAAAGTGGGGCTTGAACTCACAACCCCTAGATTAAGAGCTGCATGCTCCACCAACTGGGCCAGCCAGGTGCCCCTAGACCAACTTGTTAAGGAGGATATGAGAAATAACTCTGTCTGCACCAAGATATTTCATAATTTCTAACACCACTGGCCCCAAAGATCATGCTATATTGGAGAGAAAAGTCCAGTACACTCTGGAAAAGGTCAAACCAGTACCACATAATGAAAGCGCACAGAACTATCAGAAAGGGAGTTTACAGGATTGTGGTCTTTCCAAACATCTCAATCTGTTAAATCACTTAATCATTTACGACCAAGTCACAATTCCCCTAATTGGCTTCTTTGTGGCTGTCTATGAAGACATGCTACAAAACCAATGTGACAACAAGGAGGACATTCTTTTTTTCTACACTCAATGAACTCACAACCCTGAGATCTAGAGTTGCAAACTCCACCAACTGAACCAGCCAGGCACCCAAAGGAGGATGTTATTTTACTTTTTTTTTTTTTTTAAAGCTTAAAAACAATTTTTTTCTTAAGCACCAAGAACATTCTTCATAAAGCATTAGAGTCGTGTGAAATCCTAAAGAAAAGGACGCTAGGGGAGCCTGGGTGGCTCAGTCGGTAAAGTATCTGACTTCAGCTCAGATCATGATCTCAGGTTCAAGAGTTTGAGGCCCTGTCAGACTGTGCTGACAGTTCAGAGCCTGGAGGCTCCTCCTGATTCTGTGTCTCCCTCTCTCTCGCTGCCCCTCCTCTGCTCGCGTGCTGTGTCTCTCAAAAATGAATAAACATAAAAAAATTTTTTTAAAGAAAAAGAAAAGGACACTATAAGAAAGGAATATTGGAAATATGCTGAAGATCCCTTCAAAGCAAACCACCACAGAAAGTCACCCACCAACAAATGTACAACAATAATATCATTTGGAAGAATTTGATGGAATGCTTTTATTTTAAGAGACTCTAATGCAGGAATTTAAAACTAAAGTGATCGTTCCCTTTGCCTGTGGTAGAAAATGTGCAGTGTGATGCTACTTGGGTGCTGTGGCTATTCAGACTAGTAATTCTGATTCTTTTAAAGCGAAGTAATTTGGAGGGAGGGAGAAGAAACAGAGAGTCCCGAGAGGGAATGTTTGTAGTCTTACCAACATTTACTCTAATGCCTTTGCATCACCTCCTCTCTAAAGGGAGTATGCGCCACTGTGTTGCATTTGCACCATTAATGAGTGCAGGTAACTTGTATGTGATGGATATAAAGTAACTTCGGTTTTGGTTCAGGAGCAGGAATGCAATTGTTACATTAGAGATGCTATGCCACATAGTATCTGGCTCACGGTAACCAACTAGTGTCAAAAGAAAGGTTTTGTAATAAAATTATGGATGCATCCTAAAAAAATAAAAAAAATGTGCAAATTAAAAAAATAAAAACAAAGTCTGATTAATAGACAATAAATATTGTTGGTCAATGATTATTAAATGCTTCAGTACTTTAGGAGAAAAAAATCTAGGTGACTATTTGCTACTGAAAATGTTGGAGTATTTTTCTACACAAAGAAGTTGAAATTAAAATATTTTATTTCCCTACAAAGAAACAAATTTAGACTGGAATAACATATCCCCTCTTCCATTTTCTACCTGTTTAGTTTGTCTTCCATTCATTTTAAAGGAATTTGGGTCACAGAAGAACATTCTAAGGCACCATTTAAACATATGCTTCTATTATTATTATCATCAGCTCTCTGATTCTAGCTGTGTAGGGTGGTTTGCCATTTGGAAATAATAGAAGTGAAATGCCTTGAAGAGAGCCTACTATACAGAAAACACTCAATAGGTGGTAGCTAAAAACAATATAAAAAAGCACAAAAAGAGGAACTGAAAAGGATTGTTAGCCTAGATATAAGAACTATACTCAAATAACTATTTACAAGAAACACCTTTAAATATACAGACACATACATAGTTAAGTTGAAATTAAAAGGAAGGAGAAAGATACACCGTGTAAGCAAGCACCAATCATAAGGAAGCCGGTATAAGTAACTATATTAGTATCAGGCAAAGTAAATTTCAACACAAAATTATTAGGGATTAAAAGAGATGTTTCTTTACTGCTAAAAAGGTCAATTAATCAGAAAAAAAAATTTTACCTCTGCACAGACCTAACTACATAGCTTTAGCATACATGAAGTAAAATGTTGACAGAAATAAAGGAGAAGTAGACAAATCCACAATAATAGTTGTAGATTTTAGCACAGATCTGTAAGTAACTGACAAAATAAGCAGAAAAATAAAGCAGTAATTTAATTTATTGAAAAGTTATAGTAATTAAGAGAAAGCGTAGCTGGCAAAAGATAGGTGGACCACTCAAATAGAATGGAGAGTCCAGAACAGATCATGTGATTTACACAAAGATGCCACAGCAATCGGGCCAGGAAAGAAGTCTCTTCCACAGTGTAATATCTGGGACTTGGCCACGTGACTTGCTCCAACGGATGTTAGAAGAGTGACACAAGTAGAACTTTGCTTAGTGGGACGAGCCTTGTGCCTCTGCCCTTGTTACGAGAACACGGACAAGCGGGCTGCTGATTCAAGGAGAAGAGACACAAGGAGCAGACCCAGACTCACAGAGATGTAGCCTAAATTAGCGCTCCCTCGGATGACCTGCAAACGTGAATGAGCTCAGCGGAGACCAGAAAAGCCATACCAGCCAACACATAAATACTTATCATAACAGGCCAGGAGATTTTCCTATATGTTTACTGAGCAATGCTGATTGATATATCCATATAAACAAATGTAAATGTGGACCATTACCAATAAAAATAGAACGGATCATTGGTTTCATATAATGGATTATACTATAGAAATGAAAATAGATGAGGTACAGTTACATACATCAACATAGATGAGTCTCAAAAACAAAAGTTGTACAACACATATAATAACATTCATATCATGGGGGCGCCTGGGTGGCTCAGTCGGTTAAGCATCCGACTTCAGATCAGGTCATGATCTCACACACTCCGTGATTTCGAGCCCCACGTCAGGCTCTGTGCTGACAGTTCGGAGCCTGGAGCCTGCTTTGGATTCTGTGTATCCCTCTCTTTCTGCCCCTCCCCTGCTCATGCTCTCTGTCTCAAAAACAAATAAAAACATTTAAAAAAATAACATTCATATCATGTTAAAAAAAAAAAAAAAAAAAGCAAAGCTGCCTCTCTTTTTCCTTACTAAACAACTTGGTCCAAAGCCAATAGTATGGCAGAACATGGGAACCAGAAACAATAGGGAGTTGCAGTGGCCCAGGACAGGGACTCAGACTCTAAGCAGGGTGAAGAAGGTCTCTGCACAGGAAAGCTAACCACCTGCATGGTGCCAGAGCCCGATGAACACAAGACGGGTGTCCATGTAGGTGGAGGTGAAGCAGGGGTGGTCAGAGCTTACGCGGGTGAGGGGTGTGTCCCACACAGAAGACTTGTCCAGTACAGACTGCCAGCAGCCCACTGGGGTGAGGAATATGTCCAAACTGAGGGGCAGAAGAAGTGGCACAGGGTGGCCTGTGTCAAGCAAAACGGAAAGAGCCTTCTCACAGAGGAGCGGCCAACTGCAGCGTCAGAACCAGAGAGGGGTGAAGAGAGTGTACAAGCACCGGGGAGAAGAGGCTGCACTGAATGTCACCGAGAGGGTAAAGAGGCCAGCGGCACAGGGTGTTGAAGTGGTCTGGGGTGATGTGTCAGAGACCCAGCAGGAAGAGGAGGGAACTCAAGTGCGAACTCAAGAAGGATATGGTAAAGCCCAGGCAGGGTGAAGAAGTCTTCCATGAGGGGGAGGTGGCAATGGGGAACAAAGACATTGGCTCCACACAGGAGAACTAATCAATAAACAAATATATTAAGAATAATTGAAGCCAGGCTATTCAGTATGGGAGAAATCAGTTATAAATACAGAAAGGAAAAAACTGGAATAAACTCCATGGTGGTAGATTGAGTTTGGCAGTATCTATGTGAACTCATGCTTTTTGTTCTGCAAAGATACAGAAAATACAGATACATATGTACATGTGTGTGTACGCCTATCACTCTCTCCACTCAGAGGGCCTGAGAACGGTGGGT